CCCCCGAGCAACAGCTGCTCCAAGGCTGGCATTGGGTAAAGGAGGTCACTTGGGAGCTGCTGCAACTTGTTTTGACTGAGTGAAAGAACTTTCAATCCAGACAAACCTTCGAAAGTCTCAGACTCTACACTTTGCAAACCCATCCGACCCAGGTCCAAAAGTTGCAAGTCTTTGAGCGGCCAAAAGATCTTCTTGGGCAAAACATGCAAGGGATTCCCAGAAAGCGACAAGCGCTGCAAGAGACGCGAAGACTCAAAGGCACCCTCTGTGACATTGCTGATGTTCTTGTCGCTTAGACTCAAATCTTTAAGGCGGAGAACACCTGCGAGGCCACAGCTTTCAAGCTGCTGGAAGCTACCCATCTGAGAGCAACGGCATGGAAAGCATCCGAAGTCTTTTGAGTGACCAGGGTAGGAGTTGCTTGAAAGCAGCAAACTGAAGATAGCTATCAGCAAGACAGGTGAGTACCTACAGAGTGATCACTGACCAGAAGATACACAACAAAGAACAGAACAATAACAGCAAAGGCAAATGCAAAAGGGCAAGACTTAAAGCCGCAAGGTTCTATGATAAAACCAGAAAAGGATAGAAAATATAATCTTGAGAATGGGAAAGTAAAAACATTGCCTGTTGACACACCAGGTGCAGAGCTTTGCAAACTACCTTGCATTTCTTGAGACGAAGAAGATTTGCTCTGCGCAACAGTGATGAAGTAGAGCCTTGCAGGCTTGGTGGCATTGTTGAATGCTCTACCCCTTCTAGTGCACGGCAAACGGTACAAACATGCGCAACCGAATAGTAGACAGCAAAATAGCCCAAGAAGTCCGCAGGAAAGGCGAAAGCTGGATCCAATTCCGCAGTAAACTTCACTGCCGCTTCATCACCGAAATTCCCTCGTATTTCCTGCTCCAACTCTAGCTCATAGATGGCAAGCAAGATGAACACGAGGTACGTGATGGTGTAGGCCATATCAAGAACGGCATCCATGATTGCCCCCCCCCCAGTCGCACCCACTTCCTTGAGGGGTAGGCAAACAAAACGCTTGGATAGAGGCTGTTCAGGCAAAGGAAGCCGACAAAAGTCCAAAAGCAACGCGTGAAAACATCCGAGAGTTTTGATTGCTCAAATGAAAGGGATACGATTCCACCCAAGAGTTGAAGCTTTCCAAAAGCCTGGAGCAGCACAGATAGAAACTGTAGTATGGCCACCTTCATGCTGTAGAACCGTCCTCGAACACCAAAATACTTCTCATACAGCAGCTGAGTGGGTTTCAGCTTCCGATATTTTGCCTGAAAGCTGCCCAAGTCCCTCACAAGAACAAGTATCAGCCCTAGATATGGCAAGGAAAGGACAAGGGATGGCAGCCAATTGAACCAGTGCTCTTCAGGTAACTCATCAGGGTGCTCAAGCTGCTTCAAAGCAAATACTTGATTGAACAGCTGCACTGTTGAACTGAATGATGACGGGCTGTAGCGAACAAAGTATTGTCCACCAAGGTACATTGCTGCGAACAAAGCAACGACACGCATCGAAAACACGGCCGTGACCAGCAATGGATGCCGTGACCGCGGTCGTCCATGGAAGGCTTCACTACGCGCATCGCTTAAGCCGAGTTGCTGAGCCAGGCGATGCACTGCATCCACTTGCAGCTGCAGCTCACGCAAGGGTGCGACGAAAAATCGGATGGTGGCCAAATAGCCGTCCACCCGGCAAACGAGCTCTGAACATCTCAAGTCACTATGGGCAAGGGCAAAGGAATCGTACATACAGGCGATCTCCACACCACTCAAGTCATCACCCTCAACTCTTGTTCGAAGAAATTGCCAGGCATGTGACAGACTGTCGAAATCGGCAAAAGTCACTTCGCAGTACAACAGATCCAGAACCTGATTGGGATCACCTCTCTTTGCAACAGCTTCTTGTGCCAATGGGAGCGACTTCAACACTGGCTGCACCCTGTGACTCAACGCAAAGGCTGGCTGAGAATCCAAAAAGTCACGCAATGGCAGGCACAGTTCGCGGTTGAACTTCTCAAAG